GGTTGTGTGTGTGTGTGCATGCACACATGACTGAAATGCCTGGACTCTGTGTGTGTTCATCACACACACCTGAGTTCTGTGTGTCCGAGTGTGTGCGAGCACATGTGTGTGTGTGCATCAGATGCCTGGATTCTGTGTGTGTGTGTCTTGGCCTCACACCTGGGTTCTGTGTGTCTGGGTGTGTGTGTCTGTCCCAGACACTTGGGCCCCGTGTGTGCGTGTCCGTGCTGGCCAAGGCTTGTGCTGGCCAGGCCCCAGCGACCGTGTGTGCCAACGCATGTGCATGTGTGTGTGTAGGCGTGTGTGTGTGTGTATGGCTGGGCCCGGGCCAGGGCTGAGCTCAGACTTTCCCCCTGGAGGGGGGTGGGGTTGGTGGAAGCTCTGACGTGGGGTGGGGGCAGGTGCACATGTGTTCACAGACACATGCATGTGCAAGGCCGTGGGCTTACCTCCAGCTCTGGGAGGGGAGGGGCCTGGAGGGCAAGAGCGGGAGGGGGCTGGGAGCCCAGATGCCCGGGTCCCCTCCAGCTCGGGGCTGGTCAGCACCTGGGTCCCGCTCTGTCATGCCAGGGGGGCGGCCTGGCGGCTCCGACACCTGGGTCCCCTCCCATTGCGGGGGGTGGGCTGCAGCCCCCCGACGCCTGCGTTCCCTCCGGCTCTGGGTCAGCCCCTCGGGTCTCTGGGGGTCGTGCCCCGGACGTGTGGGTCCCCTTGCTCTAGGGTCTTGTGGAGGGCTGCACCCTTGGACACCTGGGTCCCCTCAATCTAGGGTCCCGTGGGGGGTGCAGGCTGACACAAGGGTCCCCTGCCTCTAGGGTCCCGTGGGTGGGGGGTGCACCCCGGACGCAAGGGTCCCATGGGTAGGGGGTGCACTCCTGAACACGAGGGTCCCATGGGTAGGGGGGTGCACCCTGGGTGTGAGGGTCCCATGGGTGGGTGGGGGCGCGCCCCAGACGTGAGGGTGCCGTGGGGGGTGCACCCTGGACACGAGGGTCCCGTGGGGGGGGAGGGGGATGCCCCACACGGG